GGAGACTAAAGAAGCATACAAAAATTAAAAATGGGGATGCCACTGCATTACTTCAACATTTTATAAGTAAGGCAAATAAAGAATCGTTCTTTTACTGGAATGTGCAGTTGAATGACGATTATAGAGTGATGAATTTTTTCTTCAGAGATTATAGGTGTGTGGTGGACTACGAGTACTTTGGTGATGTTTTGTCCATTGACACTACTTATAGAACAAATAAGTATAATTTGATATGTGCTCCATTCATTGGCATAAATCACCACAGGAGTAATGTTTTATTTGGCTTGGCTTTTATGTCCGATGAAACTCAAAGTTCATTTGAATGGTTGTTCACGAAATTTCTTGATTCAATGAATGGTAAACAACCTCAAACAATATTTTCTGATCAATGTCAAGCCATGATGAACGCAATAGAAAATGTTTTCCCGAATTCTCATCATCGTTTGTGTCAATGGCATATAAATCAAAATGCGCCTTCACACTTTGGGAATTTAAACGGTAATTCATCCGTCAAGGCTTTATGGTATAAGTGCATGTCTCATTGTGAATCTGAGGAAGAGTTTGAGAACACTTGGAAATTTATGGTAGATTCATATCACTTGCATGATCATAAATGGTTGAATGGCATGTACAAGCTTAGGAGAAAATGGGCTACAACTTTTAGTAACAAGTTATTCAGTGCCGGTCTTTTGGCTACATCAAGGAGTGAGAATGCAAATAAAGTTTTAAAACAGGCCGGTAGCAAGAGTAGCTCTTTGTATGAGTTCGTGATAAATTATGAAAAAGTTCAAAATCAATGGCGCACAAAAGAGAAGGTTGAAGACACTCGTTGTCATCATGGCAAACCCTCTCAAATACTTAAGAACCACCCATTGCTCGATCATGCCGCTAGTATGTACACGCTTACCATTTATGGGTTGTTTGAGCATGAACTTGTCAATTCTTTGAATTGCAAACTTGATGGCCAACCTTTTAATATTGGTAATGATGGTACTTTACTAGAATTTTAAGTAAAATCCCACGGTGATAGCTCGAGAATAAGACATGTTTCGATGAATACTCAAACTAATGAGACAAGGTGTAGTTGTCACAAGTTTGAGACCATGGGGATCTTGTGCAAGCATGTTTTAATTGTGTTTAACTTCATGGATGTAACTGTGATACCGGAGGCTTATCTTTTGAAGAGGTGGATGAAATGTGCAAGGTTGAGGGTTTATAATGATTGCAAGGCTACGGATGTTTCTTGTGGAAGTGGTCAAGAATCCGATCTTGTCTTTGTGAACAATGCAATGAGAACGGCCTATAATCTTGCTCACATGAGCAAACCTCACTTGGAGGCACGGAACATGTTGACTACAATGCTCGATTCAACAAGAGACCAAATTGTTGATTTTATTCAAAATTTGGATCTTGAAGATTCGGATATGCATGATGATGTTGAAAATGATGGTAGTGAGACGAGTGTGCGGATACGTAATCCACTTACGGCCAAGTCGAGAGGGTTAACTAACTCATGCGTTACTCGTCATTGGGATAAAAAGAACAAAAAGGGAAAAGGAGTTTCGAAAGTGCATGGGGATACTTCAAGTAAGTTTCTCGATTAGCTAAATAATAATGAATTGTCTTTCAAATAAAAAATTAATGTTTTTTTTTTCTGATTGATTGAATGTATTCATCTTCATGTGAAAAAGGATCAAAGAGAAAAGTTCAAAGTATACAAGACATTCAGAGCTAAAAAACATCATATTGTATCCCACGAACTCAAGTACCTAACATGTTGCCACCTCAAGTTCCTAATGTGCCACTACCTCAGTTCCCTAACATACCTCTATCCCAATTTCCAAATGTGCCGCCACATCAATTTTCATTCCAAGCTCCACATGTTTCACCTCAGTCCGGGACAAGTCAAGCAACTTGGCAATATCCAACTCAAGGGGTAAAATTTTATTTCTTGGTAAACACATGAAAAAAGACATGTATTATATCTTCTATATTTGTTTTGCAGGGAGCCACTGGAAATATGTATTTACTGAATTTATTCGGATATCCGTTTCCGAATTCATCTTAGGTTTAAGAATATTTTGATCTTATTGGTATTTTAGTTTTCTCATGGATAAAAGAAAATTTATTCACGTTTATGTATTTTTTTTCTTTTAACAGGGCTCATCTCATAATATGCATAACTAAATTTGAAGATTGGAGCATGTTTCATTGCAATATTTTGTAATATAGGTCTATTTGCGACATTTGTTAAGTAATTTGAATTATTGGACTTTGTCTATTTGTAGTAAAAATTTCAAATATTTTGCGGTGACTAATTTGAATTGGACTTGAATATTTGTGGTAGCATGTTAAGTCTTTTGTTATAGTTTGATTATTTTGAAGCACTATTTGAGGAGCAATTGTGGAATTTAATTTTTGGTGGTTGTCAACCATTCAAGTACGAATTAACTTGCTTCTCTTTACTATTGTAATTATATATTTGTAATAATAGATGAAAAAGATTTATTGAGCATATTTTTGTAAATTTCTTATGTCCATTGCATATGGAGCTGGAAGAGTCATTGTTGACAATTCTCCTGGCATAGTGCAAATAATGAACTACATCAAAATGGCTCAATTAAATTTTAGTGTTTCTTCTATTAGTGGAGTTTCTAGAAAAAAATATATCAAACGACGCAACGCACCTTGGGTCGTTATGGAAACAGCCTCCTTGTATAATTATAAGGGTAAGGTCTGCGTACAACTGACCCCCCAGACCCCAACTTGTTGGGAATATACTGGGTATGTTGATGATGATGTTGATGTTGATGTATTTTTGTAAATTTCTTTTTGTCAATTAATTGTATCATAATTTCCTTTTTTTTTTTTAATAAACATTGTTTTCTTGTTTGTTGTTTGTTGTTACACTGAACCAAATGATGTCATCTATTTATTCATGTATATCTTTTATGTTTTATTTATGTAGTAGTTTCCTAAATACATACTATGTATATATTTTATTTTTCATTTATGTAGCAATTTCTAAAGACATTATTTTCGTACCAAATGATTTTCTTGTTCATTTTTTTACTAATTACTATAACACCCGTGTATTACACGGGTGTTTGCTAATTTTTTTTTAAAGTCTAAAATATATATGTATTATAATATATTTAGTATAACACTTTTTATTTGTGCGACTTACCTGTGTTATATTATAATAATTTTTAACTTACAACATATAACTACATTAAAAATAAATATATCAATTGATAAATAATTTTATTTTTCTAATAAATTTTAATAAATATTTTTATTTTTTATTATTATAAAAATAAATATAATTTATTTATTTCATATATACAATATAGGTGTCAAATCGAAGATCATCAAAAGATGATTAATTTGATATATAATATATGTAAAACCGATAAAAATACAAAAGTTATCAAGGTTTTTAATACATTTACAATTCAATAGCTAATTGAAGGAAACAAATCAAAGTCAAGGATATATTAGTCACTTAGTGTCTCACTATGTAAAATTATAAATAATTAAAGGGTTATATTAGTACAAGTGATATTAAAATACCTAAATTAGATAAATAATATTTATGGAATGTTTGAACCTAAACTATTAATTATTAATATATCAATATTATTTGTCCAAACCTAATTACGAAGCATGATTTTTAGCCAAGTAGGATTTCGAAGCACCAGAAGCAGCCATGTAGGCTCAGCGCATTCGAGAATTATATATAGAGAGGATTGTGAGTTTTTATGATATCAACCCAAAATAGGAAACAAGTAAACACCATGCCAACAAAAAAAAAAAAAAAAAAAAAAAAA